CTTAGTAGAGAGAGAGAGAGAAGGGGGGGGGGGGGGAATGGCAGCTGGGTTTAATGGTGAGAGGAAGTGGGGGGAATATATAAAAACAAAGGGAAATCTTCCAGGCTGCTGAGGCCAGACTGGCTGGGTGGGCATGCCAGTAAAGCTTGGAAGGAGCTTTTAGCACATCAACGTGCCTGGGCCTCAGCTTTCTATTAATTTACATGCTTTCTAAGGATAGGCTTCTCATGTCCAAACTCATTAGAGGAGGAACCCCAAACCCTTGATTAATTTAACATCAAATTGAGCTTAAAAGACTCCCATAATCTGCCAAACATTTTGATATTCCTTGAGTATATCTACTATGTGAAAAGTTGTAGTATCTCTAACTTTGGATATATATATATAGTGATGCACCCTAGTTATAAAGGTAAGGTGCACCTTGAAATTTTATCATGGTATATAATTTTGATGTAAAATGTTCTTAGGATTATCTAAAAATCTATTTTATATCTAATTATAAAATTTTAAATTTTAAAAATGGTTAAAATCAAGTAGATCTATAAACATATGAAGGTCTTGAAAATGAACGATGTAGATAATATGTTGTAAAATACATTATTTATGAGACATAAAATCTTTTTATTTTTCATGGCCTTACATCTCGATGTCGAGATGATCAATCAAAGGGTTTTTCAACATTAAAACTACCCTTTTCGATGGATTTTTGAGGTGTATTTGTAGTTCTACATTATAAGGTTGCATCCTCATGTAAACGTTTTCCTATATATATAAAAAAAGTATCACAAGTGCCTATGGGTTAATTTGAACAGTGTTTCTCCCTGCAATTGACATAGCATTTTCATTGTGGTTTATATTGAAAAACCGCAACAGCTCTACGATAACCGTGGCTGAAACCCATATTTTGTGTGTGAAAAAACCCTGCAACGGGTTTTGCCATGACTGTCGTAGTGCCATGGCAGAATTCGTTGCGGGGTTTTTTTTTGCATAAAAAACATGATTCCGCCATGTTTGTCGTAGAGCCGTTGTGGTTTTTCATTTCATATCGCAGCGGACATGCTATGTTTGTTGCGGAGCAAATACTATTCAAATTCGCCCATAGGCATTTTTAAGACTTTCTCCCTCTCTCTCTCTCTCTATATATATATATATATATAAGGGTAATCCAACGGGGCATATTGAATATGGGTGGATCTGACGGTCACGATTACACTTCATATTTGAACTATATATATATTTCTACACATCCCAATCACTTAAATTTGAAGTGTTTATTATCTAAAAATAGGAGAATCTAATAAAAATACAACAAAAATAATTCGCAAAAACAACATTGATCAAAATACCCCTGAAACTTTTCAAAGGTATTTTGGTCAATTTAATTTTTTCAATTAGTTTAAATCATTTTATTAGGTGTGATTTGATAAGAAGAATTGATTCCTAAAATCTCATGTGATTTGGATTTATATAAATAATATTAAAATTATATTACAAAATGAGATCGTGACCGTCAAATTGGTCTAGATTCAATTTGGGTTATTGGGCTTATATAGAGATGGATTTAGGATTGAATCCCTATGTGACTTTTTTTTTTTTTGTTTGGTTAAGTAGATATGTGACTGACTTTTTTGCTCAATAATTAGTGCACATTTGATGATCTACAAAGAACTAAAATAACCGGTGATGGCGATTCCAAAAGAAAAGTTTAAAACAAGATATTTCAAAGGTTCAAAATCACGGAGGTTGAACCTATGGACCTGTAAAATTTTAGGTCCAAAATACACATCTGTGATGGTAGATTCTTTGGAGACCACATTTTGATACTTGTGTATGTTGATGCACCAAATCCTATCCATGTTTATAAGTTTCAACATATGCATTAATAAAAAGGAAAAAGTTTATATAAGGTTAACACCTTAAAATGTAGTAATAAGGTGTACTTCTAAAATCTTTCAAAAAAGATCACTTGATGTTAAAAGATGACTAATTGATGATCTCGACATTGAGATGCATAGATATAGAGAAGAAAAGAGATTTCAAGTCTTAAAAATATTACATCTTGCCACTCATTATTTGGACCGTCCATTTTCAAAAGTCTTATGTATTTATAGATCCGCTTGATTTGAACTATTTTTGAAGTTTAAAAGTTTATAATTAAAAAAATAAATTTTCACACCATCCTAAGAATTTACGACAGCGGAATTGCATCCCGGGACAAAGTTTGGAAGTGCACCTTAATTTCATTGTTTAAAGTTGCAACCTTATGCAAACTACACCCTTAAAAAAATTGGGTGTAACTGGGCCACTAACTATTGGAAACAAATATTGGAAAATGGAGAAATGCATGTCCTCGGATGGAAAATATAGTTCTCCCCACAAGGGAAAAAACAGAATGAGGAGAAAACCAAAAAATAAATGCAAGAAATCATAGATCTATTCGAGTATTGGGATTATAATCCTACTGAGAATTCCCTAAAGATTGTGAACCCTTATGACCACTCTCTTTTGTATGCGAGTGCACGAGCTGTTCAGTTTTACTTCAGTGGGGAGCCTGGAAGGGCAGGTGTGTAGTCTTTTTGTGTGTGTGTGTGAATGTTAATTCCGGCTTTGG